TAGTTCTTCAATGGGAAATGCATCTCTAAGAAAAATAATTAAGCTCATCTTTCGTAATAGCATCTATAAGGCACAATTGGAGGACTGTCAGATTACTCAAGAGCAGATCTTTCTGTTACGGCATTCGGAACAGATGCCGGTTCACTATCTGAAATCTGCCAACCTTAACACGTCAAAGTAATTAATAATGACAATTCAAAAAGTAAAGTAAATTGAATATTTTCCGAGAGGCAAAATTAATCACAATATCCTAAGTGATTTGTCATAAGTCTAATCGTGCTGATTTTTCTGAGAATAAAAGCGAGCTGCAAAGTGTAATGTGGAAATCAACACCAGATATTATATGCGATCGCTAGGTAAATGACTATCCGTTGAAGGCTGGCCACCAATGGTTAAGTGAACAACAGCATCAAGGTTTAACTGTATGATACACTGGATTTAGAGTGACATGAGGCTCCGTAATTATATCCTTTTAAATTCCAACTTAATATGTAAACAAATCATTTGATTAGACCATTCCCAAAAGCGATTCCTGACCATGATCAAAGGAGCCACACTTGCCATCTACGCGAAAGCATCAGAATACCTTGGTCGTCCATTCATTTGATAATATTATTTCAAACAATGATAAAAAAGCAAATCATGGATTAAATTATAATTTTAAATAGCCTAAACCGAGTTTCTTGGCAGAGCTTCATCAGTGGTGAGAGAATATTCGAAGTTATATTCCATACGGCCTTGTTTTGCCTGGTGACCCTGAAAATGCATGTAAGACAATGTGGCAGTTAAATTTCAATTGAAACATTAACCTGGCAGAGTTTTAATTTTCACTCATTCTATATCTAAATCAGAGGCAATTCTTCGACATTGAATTTGTTGTTACCGATGTGATAATGGGCTCTAGGGAAGTCTCACATCGCTGCTGCTTTCGACATCAGTCGACCACGCGAAATTTGAGTTAGTTTTCGAGATCAGCAGGACAGATCGAGGGTAAGGTAGTGGTCGGGTCATTCGCCATTCGCACCCTTCTGACATGACTGTTTCCTTGTGGGAAGAAAACAAGAGACCGCATGCAATAGTGGTCACCCAAATACGGATATAAACTTTGAGAAAACTTTCGGAAGATTGATGCTATTATGAAAGAGGCAGATAACATTAGGACAATGAAGATATAACAATGGTAGCTTGTACTAAAGACCCATGATTTGTCTATTCTAAAATTGTATAGATGCTATGCAACCGCAAAGCTGCGTCTTGTCCCTTGCAATGCCAATTATTAACATTTACGCATGATTATAATTCAAGTTCGAAATGGATGGCCCTCACAATCTCAAGAGGACAGACTGCCACAAAGAATTTTTGAATGATCGACGGATTTCAGCGCATGTCGTATTTCTGCATTATTGCGTTACAGTTTGATCGTCTTCTCAGTAATTAAAATTAAATCTGTTCGAACGACCCTAAGCTCCTACGGAGCATATGTAATAATCATTCACCGGGGTCCATGCGTAATTATTTAAAGAGGACATCTCACGACGCAGCAAACGAAAGGAATAAATGTGTCACGTGAAATTTTTAATCAAGTTAAAGTGGTACATGAAGTCAATAATTTGCCATTTGGGCCAATTCCATTTCCATTCATCAGTGGAGTATGTACTAAGCAATTTACGATGAGCATCGGGACTGAATTTACTGTCCTCCTTCGTCACTCATCTTCATCTTCCATCGCCGCTTCTGCTTTCGGGTCGCGGAGGCAGACGCGTCAGACAGAGCTTCCAACGTTCCCGATCCTATGCCAGAGTCTAAGCTTCGGCAGAAGACAATGAAGTCTGGAACAAACTCCTTCCATATGTTTGCACCAGGTTAATCTTGGCCGTCCCCTGGGCCTTTTGCCGGTCCGATTTGCAAGGAACAGTTGCCTAGCCTTCCCTTCTGGAGCCATTCGCAACACGTTCTTTCGTCACTCATCTCAATTTAATCAGGATTGTACTTTGTCTAGCTAAAAAAGTTTATTTCCATCGAACTTTTTGATCACACAGACGCACTGCACAAAAACCGAAACCTCTGTAGACCTCTGCGCCATATTCGCGGCACCTATGCATGGATTTTAAAAATAGCTAACATCTACAACCACTAAGCATGTCTAACTGCCACGAGGAATGGTTCAAGTGCAGGGCTCAGTTACAACAGTGGATAAATATGCTTGTTTGCTTAATTATATACTTAGATTTTTCTTTCCTACTAAACTGTAATATTAGGTCTGCGTTTTATGTGCGTTGTATGTGACAACTGTATTCGATCTATGCGGAAGAATGGTATTATATATAAGAATTATTCGCTGCCTTGGAAAATGTTAAGCGAAGATCGTTGACCGCTATTCAAACGGGCATCGAATTGATACCACCTTCGATGCAATATGAGATTATTCGTCATCCGTATTTCTATCGGTTTAATTTCATTGCAATTAATTTTTCCAGGGCATAAGCCGATGAACCTCACATCTCTGCTCCATCACTGACGTGTAAACTAGTGGTATTTTTTCTGATTCGTATTTTTGCCATTAGATATAAGATTGGTATCTACTCGATTTTAAAAGCGCCACTACAGCATTAAAACGGTAAGATAATGATGCAAATAAGGCGATTAAAAGAAAAACCTTTTATGGCAACCTGTTACGAATAAATTTAATATCTCGATGTAACGATGCCTAATGGCTTATTGTTGTGCTGAATGTAGTATAGAAGTATGACCGAATAAAATGGAGTAAGAAACATAATTAAAAGGGAAATATAAATGTTTGTATGCTAATTGATCCTTCTTCATAATTAACGGGAATCTCAATTTCCAAATCTCAATACCGACGTTCGTCTGTCTCATGTGATACAGGATTGGCTGTCGACCACGGTTGCTTGGCAACATTGACAAATCGTCTGGTTGCCCTTCAGCAGGGTCGAATGGGACTTTAGGTGTCGAATTTATTAGGTTTTCTCCACTCCAATTTTTTTCTTCGACCTCAGGCAGTTTTTCATCCGCACCACCGGAGCGGTTCCTCATTAAGTGTAGTAATGCAAGTATATAATCATTAGCATATTTGTGGTGGTTTTCTGAAAAATGAAGGTGTTTTTTAATTACTAGACAAAGCGTCACGCTTATTATGAGAGTAAGCCCTTTTGGATGCTTATAAATACCATGAACAACTCGTTCAATAAGGTAAACATGATACACACCGACACATCTCTCAGTCGTTTACGCGATCATATACAATAACAAGCC